AAGGAAAGTGAGTGAGTGCACACGGAGAAACACAGTGAGAAACCAGCTGGCAAGTATAAAAGCATGGTAAAGTGTGAGGGGTTCTTTCCATCTAATCAAACTTCTCAACCTTCTTTCTAGCTTTCAGGAAATGAAGGAGCTAAAGAAATGCAGGATGGATAAAAGAGAGAGTAAGACAATAAGATGCCATCAGAGATCACAAACTCAAAGTGTTATGACTCGATTGGAAATGATCTGAATAAGGATCCGAGAGTCAATCTAATGTCAAGGTCATCACCACCCTTGATCTCCCTTGGTGGGGCACACAGCACTAGTCTGCCAATTAGTTCAGCTAGCTGTAGTCACAGGATCTGCAGCAAGTCCTATAAAGAGTGAGGGACTATTTGCCCACTTCTTGAATCTAAATTGGCCTCTGGGTTTCCTCTGATCCACAGAATGTGGCATATGTGATCTTGCTTGTCTCCCAAGGCTATGCCTTAACAAGTCTGACAGCTTCTGCCTACACTCTTTTAGATGCTGCCCATAGATGGACAATGTAGCCTGTGAAGGAGAGGGCATGCCCTGCTCTCTATGAAAGAATCCTCCAGAAGAACTGTGGCCCTCAGTGGTTAGTATCACCAACAGCCAGACATGTGAGGCCACTTTGGACTTTCAGCTCAGCTTACTCTCCAGCTCAGGGTTTGGAAAACTACAGCTTAAGGGCCAAATCTAGCCCTCAGCCTGTTTTTATGTTGGGCCCTTGAGCTAAGAATAGTTTTGCTTTTCAAAGGTGTATAAAGAATGAAATAAAAAAGTAACAAAGAATAATATGCAACAGAGACAAAGTCTAAAATATGGGGTGCCTGGATGGCTCAGTCAGTTAAGCGTCCTACTTCGGCTCAGGTCATGATCTCACGGTTCGTGGGTTCGAGCCCCGTGTCGGGTTCTGTGCTGGCAGCTCAGAGCCTGGAGGCTGTTTCAGATTCCGTGTCTCCCTCTCTCTCTGCCCCTCATGCTCTGTCTCTCTCTGTCTCAAAAATAAATAAGCTATAAAAAAAATTAAAAATAAATAAAATATGCGTTACTGGCCCTTTACAGAAACTGTTGCTAATCCCTGCTACAGCTGAACATAACTGTATACGCCCAAACAAAACCACAAAGGAAACATCCAACCAACTCTCAGAATTGTGAAAAATATTAAATTGATATTTGTAATACATGGGATAGTTTGCCCTACTGCAATGGATAAATTAATCACAAGAAGCTAAATGCTATACAGCAAGCAAGGAGACTGCCTCAAAGGAAATACTCTCTTAAAGGTTTTGAACTTTTCCTTCTCACTAATTTAGGAGGATTTCTTACCCCAATTTGCTGTCCGTGCCTCTGTTTTGTATTCTAGAGAGGTTTTGGCAGCTACACATACATACTATTCATGGGACATTCAAAACATTGTTTTGATTTTTTAGAGATTGAGAAAGAGCGCATGCATGAGTTTGGGAGAGAGGAAGAGGGAGAGAATCTTAAGCAGGCTCCACACTCAGCATGGAGCATGACAGGGGGGCTCAGTCCCACACCCCTGGGATCATGACCTGAACCAAAATCAAAGTAGGATGCTCAGCCAACTAAGCCACCCAAGTGCCTCCAAAACATTTATTTTTAAGAATTATTTAGGGTTTATTTATGGGGGGGGGGGGAGACAGAGAGAGAATCCCAAGCAAGTTCCATGCTGTCAGCACAGAGCCCGACATAGGGGTCAATCTCACGAACCAAGAGATCATGACCTGAGTCAAAATCAAGAGTAGGATGCTTAACTGAGTGAGTCACCCAGGCACCCCCAAAACAATTTAAAAACAAGTATTAGACAACAACTTTTCTTAAAAAAAAAAACCATAGTATTTGCAAGATATAATATTAATGTCCTAACACAACTTTCCAAATACAAAGGTCTTTTTTTTCCTCCCTAGATTAATCTATTTGCAATGGAGCCTGCCTAGTTTTGTTATCAATAAACCTCCTTTACTTAGTGAGGTAAATTGTCAGCCAAGGTGGGGTGAAGAATGGCTGTGATAAAGACATCAGCAAGAAGCAATCACTTTACCCTTTGCAAAGGGCACAGGTACTTCCAGGGCTGGAACCAGGAAAAGAATCACAACAATGATTTAGATCTGAATATTCATTCAGCCTGGAATTCCACTACTACTATCTAAATATGGTTTTATCGTACACCCATTTTTGACTCCTATATCCACCTATATTATTTTCAGAGAACTTCCAAATTACCACAAATGATTTTTAAATCCATATTTCACTCCTCTATTCTTTCCCGTTAGCAGACAAAAGGCTTTCATAAAGAAGTAGCAGATGAATTTACAGGAATCTGTAAACAAAAAGAAATGGTGGGCCATATTTATAGTCAGTGCAAATTGGGGATGGGCAGTTACGGCGAGGGTCAAAGTTAAACAGATGACCCAGACCCACCATATTTTGAGCAAAGGACTAATATGACCAATACACCTGAATCTGCATTTGGCTTAGATCAGTGTGGTAGCTCCTTTCCAAATATGTCCCTCCTCCCCCACAGTGAGCCTCATCTCCTGGTGATCATGCCCTGTCTGATCCCTTTCCCTTGAATCCTGAATAGTCCTATACTTGCTTTTGACCAACAGCATGTGGCAAAAATGATGCTACGTAACTTACAAGGCTCATTTTTGCCTTCTAGGTTCTGTCTTGGGACTCTGAGTATGCTGATGAAATTCAGATCAGCTGTCAGGGGTAAGAGCAGACACTAATTTGCTGATAACAATTGAAAATCACTGATACAACCCACTGACTTTAACTTACTAAAAATTGTCCTCCTTTGACAAGTACGGATATAGGCTGTCTGTTTGGAACTCTCCATTTGTCTGTAGAATAGATGATGCACTTTGAGAGTTCTCTTGTGGAAGCTGAGGTAGTCACTGTTATATGGCACGAACTGCACATAGCTCTTGCCCAGCACAAGATGAGCACACACCTGTAGATATTTCTATGAGCCAGAGATCAGAGGACAACATGCAGAGATTACACAGTGTATTGCATACTCTTGATCTGTTTCTATTATTAGAACTGAGCTGGTAGTGTAGATCAGGTATGCCCAGGTAAATAAGGAAACTCCTCCTGAATTTTATAAAATCTTCTTAAAACATACATCACAAGACCTATAGAAAGCATCACTGCTTTTACCAGAATTATCCACAGGAGCTCTAAAGTGGCCCAAACTCTAAAGAGACCAGAGTTTTACTATTGTTTGAATAAAGCTAGTATTTCATACAATGAAGGTGAGCTGAGGTAGCAAGAACCAGAATGAACCAGATGATTATCTGCCCGCCCAGGCAAATGGATTTCTAATCTGTGTCATCCTTGCAGGATCTAAGACTTTCTCCTACAAAGAGTTCCAAAGCTTCTACCCTCTCAGATTACCTATTAACCACAAAAAGGAAAGTAGACTTTATAACGGACTATATAGAGAAATCTAGAGGCCAATTCAGATTTCAGTTATTGATACTGGGACAACCTATTATATATTTAAAAATTAATATTATGTGTTTAATATTTAATACTATGTTCTTCTTGATAGGAAACAAAATGAAGAGCATCTCCTAAAGTCTGGATTCTTGACATCTAATCAAATCTCTTCATCTTCCTTCCAGTAATAAATGTGGGAGTTAGAGAAAAAGGTTAAATGACATCAGGAGGAAAAAAGAGGTCTAAGAAATGGAGAAAGCAGAACTCTCTGCAAGGTTAATACCATGAAAACAAAAAATGTGAGGGGCATTGTTCTGCATTAAGAGACAAATATAGGGGCGCCTGGGTGGCTCAGTCGGTTGAGCATCAGACTTTGGCTCAGGTCCTGGTCTCATGGTTCGTGGGTTCGAGCCCTGTGTCGGGCTCTGTGCTGACAGCTCAGAGCCTGGAGCCTGCTTCAGATTCTGTGTCTCCCTCTCTCTCTGACCCTCCCCTGCTCATGCTGTCTCTTTCTCTCAGATATAAATTTAAAAAAATTTTTTTAAATGTTAAAAAATAAAAAATAAATTAAAAGAGACAAATATAACCAATGCAATGCACAAATGCTCATTGCACTACCTTTCTACAAAACTAATATATAACATTTCTTTTGACAACTGGAGAAATTTGCATATGGGCCAGATATTAGGTTATATTATCAAATTGTTAAGTTTTTTTTTTAACCTGTGATTAAGTTTCTCATGTGGTTGCATGGACGAATGTCTGTTTTTATTCTTGGGAAATGAAGGCTGAAGTGTTTAGGAGACAGAAAAAGCAATTGTGGCAAAATGTTTTAACACTTACTCAACCTTGGAGTTAAGAACTTGGGTGCTCACTGAACTGTTCTTTCAACTTTCCACGTGGGGAAGCCGAAGTCAAACCGTCCACAGTCCCACAGCCAAGCGGCCAGAATGGGGAACTGTTTTCAAATGGCACTATGCCAGGGGTGCCAGGAGAAGAGAGGGGAGGAAATATTATTTCTGGATTAATTCAGCCACCTCCACCCAAAGACCGGTATGACCAGAACCCATACAGCAACACCCAGGTCCCACGCCTAAAAGCCTCGCCACTTCCTCGAGGGACCACTAGTCAATGACAGAGTTTCAAGATAGATGCCCGTAGGCAAGCGACTTCCTGGGACTCCTGGTCCTACACCAGACCACTGTAACCCCGAGGTGTCCCCACCCTTCATTCCCTTTCGATTCTAGAAGGAGAACACACTTTTCTTCTAAGATGAAAGAACTTCCCGAGGTTTCTTCTTTCCTTAAGAGCTCTGTGCGGACTTGAACAAGTAAATCCCTCCAGAACTGCTCGAGGCGGGGAATTTCTGCGGCTTGAAAACAGGGCGAAATCCCGGCCCGAGGCCCGCCACGGCCCACCCCCTGCCCGCGTCAACTGTAAAAGGCATACCTAACAGCGCCGTACTCGGGACGCAGCGATGGCTCGGAGCGGCGGAGCACACGCCCAGGGAGGGCGCGGAGCGGCCGGCCGGGTGGGGCCCGGCGCGCCGGGGCTCCGGGCCCGCGCGTGCGTGCGAGCGAGCGAGCGAGGGGCTCCCGGGCTTCGGCGCGTGGTCTGCGCGCGCCCGGCCGTGCGTGCGGCTGCGGGAGGCTGCGTGTGCGCGCGGGGCGGCAGCAGCGGCCGCCTGCCCGCCAGTGTCCGAGCAGGGTTCGCGCGGCGCGCGGGAGGTGAGTGCCCGGCCGGGTCGCGGGGGGGCGATCGGAAGCCTCGGAGACCCCAGGGTGGGGTGGCGGGACCGGCCCTGGGACTCGCTTCTCCGGGAACGGCAGTTGCGGGGCCCGCGAGGCCAGGAGACCGGCAGGGCGGTGCCGCCCACCTCGGCCCTCTGGCTGAGCGCGGCCGGGGTGCACTGGAGCAGCCGCGTCCTGGGGCTCCCGCCGCTGCGAAGAGCAGCTGCTGGATCCCGATCCGCGCGGGGTAAGGGGCCTGGCGGGGCCGTGGGCGACACTGAGGGACTCCGGGACGTATAGCGGGCCCAGGCCGCGGCTGCAAGGAGCACCCTGCCGTGCCTGCTCTGCCCTAGGGCGCAGTCCCCTGAGCCCCTTCGCTTTGGGCCTCTCTGGCGACAAACTCGGGGAGCAGTCCGGAGCGCGTTAGCCGCGGCGGCGAGGGAAAGGACGCGGGCTGTGTCTCAGTGTCGCTGGATTTCCCAGCAGGCCCGGGGCGAACCCATTCCCAAGGCGCCAGGGAAGGGCCTGGGAATCGAATTATGAAATATGGGAGGGTTCTTTTTCATAGGGAGGGTTTGGAGGAGTATGGACCTAAGGAGGAGAAAGGGCGAATTGGGCAGAGAGAAAGGAAAGCCCAAGGAGCTAGTGTACACAATTTATAAGAGGCGATCTTAACGGGCATACAGGCATTTTCAAAGAAATCTGATACAATGGAGTCTTACTTTTCCAAGCAGTTAGGAGGGATGCCAGCTGCAAGCACGCGTTGCATTCCCTATTTCCTTCGCTTCCACTCCCACTGCTGGACTACGAGAGAGATTTGCAAGGCCGAGATGGTTTTCTTTTCCTCTGTATTTTGCAAATAGTACCAGCGTTTAGGACCTGGCTGCCTTGTCAGAGAAAGCTACATCCAAGGAACAAATGACCAAATCATCTCTCTCTCTCTCTTTTTTTTTTTTCTGTTTTCAGAGGTAAGCAAGATTTGAGTGTACAGTCTTCGAGTGAGGACAAGTTTGTATTTTAGCTTTCCCCAGGTGTCTTAAATGGATGTAGGGAGCTGATTTTGTGCTCTCAGAATGTGTTGATGTCTGATAAAAGCGCATCTGAACTTGTATCAGTCTAAAGAAGGGAGCTATTTATTAAGAGATAAGAGCCTAAGACATTTTTTTTCTCCTAGACTAAAAGGTTCATTCAAATGAATAGTCACTGAGTAATTCCACCCATGAAAATAAAACCTGTTATCAAAACAGTGACCAAATATTATTCCAGATTGGATGCATGAAGTGATTTGAGAGCAAGGACGAAGAAGAGAGCATCAAAGCTTTTCCAAAAAGGAAGAGAATGCCAAGACAGTATATGATAATTTGCTCCTGTAACAGTTTGCTAGGTATAGTACACTGATTTTAGATGTTTGATTGCCCAATGTTGTTGAATTATGACTTAGATATATTCTTTTTATGTTCTTTTGCTCAGTAGTTCACAGCACATGTTTTTAATTAAAGCATGGACTATGGAAAACAGAAAAACTAAAAAAGCTAGTGCTTTAGTCTCATCTGAAATTCTGTGGGTAAGTTCATCTTACTTTAATTTAGAAATTATCCTGATTGGTTAAAACTGACTGTCAGAGTCTCCTTTACAAGAGTTTAAGGATCATTTACACAGCTACACGTTCCGTTGTATATGCTAGCATATTTTTTCCCTGAAGAATTTGAGGAGTTGTAAGAGTTAAACTTTACTAAATCATTTTGGATGATGCATATCTTTCTAAGAATTGGAATATTATTAAAATACTGTAGTATCTCAGGAAAATTTAACTATATAAACTTAATTTGGTGGCTATATTCAAGTTCAGACTCAACTCTATTCCTAAGAAAATAACTCCAGTGAATACTTTTTCTTCTTTTCTTATCCCTTGAAATGATTTGCCTTCTCTCTGTGCCCAGTCTGCAGCTCTGTTCTTTCCACTGTTGGGTGATATGGGTAGAATCCCATTTGAGGAAGTACGTGTCTCCCACTCACAGCTGTATAATGTCCAGGCCAAATATGCTTCTCTCTTACAGTTCTAACAGTTATCATTGCTCATCCCTGCTCACTGTGTGGTAACCACACTGTACAGCTTCATAAATGAGGCCACATGTGAGAGGTCAAACAGGATGCTTTTAAATGGCTTTGCACAGCAGATGCATTTAAAAGTTGCACTTCATTTAACAGCAAGTCTTTGGTAAATATCTCTTATGGGACTATGAACGATGGTTTTGTTTCAGTAAAAAGTTGGCTACTCTAAATATTTGCTTTTGGTACATTGTGAATTAGATGAGAAGGGAAGGTGAGGATATGTGCAGGAGGCATGGTGGTTGGCAGGAGGCTCCTCTAGATGAGAAGGAGATGAAGCCCCAGAACATCTTGAGGATGAGGCTCTGAGATGCTGCAGGATGGAAGATTTGGCTAGGGAGATAACTTGTACACCTTGAGGCTCTGAGAAATTAAGGAGTAAAACCCAGAAAGCTAGAATACATTATTAATTTTTCATTCTATGTGTTTCTGACCTGGAATTAGCGAGGAAACCAAGCCTTTTGTTGTCAATAGTATCCATAGCCTAGGTTAATACTTACCAGCCCTGCCTACCCCTCTAGGAACTGTGTCACGTGGGGAGCATGTTATCAACACCAGGATCCCCTCTTCAGTTGGGGTAATGAGGAAACACAGAGAAGAGAGATCTTAGGAGACTGAGATTTTCTTGATGTTCTCAGGTATGCCAGTTCATGGCGAGAACACTTCCAGACCAACAGTCTGATTGGTAAATAAAGTGTTTTTGGAGCACAGCCACACCTATCTTGTTTAATATTGTCTGTGGCACCAAGTGGGTGTGATAGAGACCATAGGAAGAAAATATTTGCTATCTGGCCTTTTATTGAAAAAAAAATTGGCCACTCTTGGGTTAGAACTTAGATTTCTGCTAAACTCCTAACCATTTGCATGTTGAACAGCTTTTTAAAGTTAGCATAAAGAAGCACTATGTTTGACTCCTTTTTTGGTAATAGACTTTGTTTTCAAGGATGGAGATACCTACTTTCTAAGAGGAAAAATTATAATCAACTCTTATCTCTTAATATGAAATAGTTCCTTTCTCTAAACTGATGTAGGTTCTCTAATTTGTGCTTTTATCAAGCACCTACACATTCTGAGAGTGCAAACTCCACTCTCTGCCCTGGACCCTGGCCACACATTTGGAGACATTTGAGCTGGGAGGTCGCCCTCCCATCTTCTCAAGGTGGGCTTTACTGATAACGTTCATTCTGAAACTTGGAGTCACAAACCGTCCTCCGTGTTCTGCATTGTGTCAGCAACCTGAAGGCAAGACAGATGTCTTCTTCTCCATTGCACCCCCAGCCTCTAAAACAGGCCTGGCATACTGACTGACTGACTGAAGAAAGAACACATGAACGAATGAACAAAAGACAAATAACTGCGGGACTTAGCCTGACAGACAAGAATGATTATATATCTTTTAATATTTCTAATCTGAGGCAACAGGGATGATTCCCCTGGGTGCAGAGGTACGTTCACTTTTGCTGCGTTTGGCTCTTTGGGTCAGTACTGTAGTCTCACAGTCCAGCATGAGCCCTAGAAGTATATGTTGAGAAATTGCTGCCTGTGGAGAACACAGTGGCCATGATGGATCAGCCAGTTTTGAAACTGATGAGGCACTGCCATTGAGCTCACTTTTCCATTTTTTTTCAGACAGACCTTTCAGTGCCCTGTCCTCTCCAGAGAAACTTCATTCTTGCGTGCTATGTAAGGCTTCCCTTGATCTTCAAGTGGAGGAACCTTCTGGGTTCCAGTGTTTACCAAAGCTAATGTTTACCAAAGCCCAGCAATTTATTCAGGGTTATGTGGAATATAAACTTATTAACATTCTTGCCAGCAGTTCCTCCATTTCTGAAAAGTGTACTTGAAGGGAAGACTAGTTGGCAATTGTCTCGGTGAGAATTAGAGCTGAGCATGATTGGCTTGGAGATTGAACAGTGTTTTCACATAGGAGTCCCCATTTTTTTTTAGTTCCTGGGTTAGCTTTGACAGCTCTTCATCCCTGACGAAGATCAGAGGTGCTGCACTACGTGGAAGAAAGTATGAAGATGCCAGGCCAGCGAGATTATAAGAACAAATTAGGAAGGGTGCCTTGTGGTACAGTGGTTTCGGAGCCCCCTTGGGGGATGAAGACGCCTGGGTTCCCAGCCCTGCTTGCTGGCGGTGAGACCCTGACTAACCATCAGGTCTCCAAATCACAGTCTCCTCAACTGGAAAATAAATGCTGTAGTAGTAGTAGTGCCTACCTCATAGATTGTTTTAATCAACAAACAATAGATTGTTTTAATCAACAAACAAACAATAAAGTATGGAAAGTCCTTAGTCCAGTGCCAGGACCAAGTAGGGGCTGTTGCTAAAATTATGGACAGAGGGGAATGTGAAGAAAATGGATAAAGTAGAAATCAAGTTCTTTTTAATGTAAACTTCGTTTGCCCTGACAGAGGAACGCATATTTCATTTTTATGTATTATTAAATTCCGCAAGGATAGTGGTTGCAGTTCATTCAGTCAGTAAATAAAATTTGATTCTCTATTATATGTCCAGCTGTGCTTCAGAGTAAGAGGGAGAAATGTAAGCTTTATCAAATATGCACAATCCTTAAAATAGATTTGATGCCACTTGAATATTTTACACCTCAGTTTAAAAAGGTTAATGTATTTTGTAATTCTCCTCCAGCTGCCAGAAGTTCCTGTTGTAGGACTTCTGACAGTTCAAATCATCCCCAGGGATAGGAAGATGATGGGGCAGGAGGAAGGTCATGGGAGATGGGAGCATGTGTAGAAGAGGAACTGAAAAAGTTTACATTTGGCATGTGGATCTCTACTACTAGTGCCTGTGGGCTTAGATGCTCATGCAAGCAAAACAATAGGAACTTAAAGATGCTGGAGGAAACCTCATCTTTGGACTCTGAA